GGTGCCAGTGGTTAGGAGGGCGGCGATCAACACGAGGGCGCCAATAGGAGAAGGGCCCCGATTAGCATTCAACAGGAAGGACTAGGGAACCAATAGGTAGGAGGGCGGCACTGAACAAGAGGGTGCCAAAAGGGAGAAAGGCGGCCTTCAAAATTTCACATGAGGGCGCAATAGGTAGAAGAGCGCCAATAATTATGAGGACGCCGATCAGCAGAAGGGCGGCAATGTGTAGCAGGGTGGCGACCTACAGGAGGGCGCCTTCGGGTGAGAGGGCGCTTATTTACAGGACAGCGGCTTACATAGGCGACCACCGTTACGCTTAGAGAGCTACAGCCTACAAATGTGGTTGGAGAGCGCCCGAGGGAGCCCTCCAACCGTATTTGGAGGGCGTATTTGGAATGGGCGTCCTCCGAGGGCGCCCTCCATCCGTATTTTCCCTGTAAACACATTCGCGATTGGAGGGCGCCCTCCAGTCGCGATTGTTTTTCGATTCGATTATATCACAATTGCATTTGCGATTGGCAATCGCAAAGGGCGCCTTCGGCGCCCAAGGGGGGGGCCATGGCCCAGTGGCCCCCCCCCCCTGCCTACGCCCCTGGGGCCTTGCAGCTACCTATCTTCCACCGGCGTGTGTGTAATTATTCTGTGTATTTTCAGCAGGCGCGTGCGATGACGCGACGCGCCACTTATTTGCGTCGTATTTGTCGCCGATTTTATATTCAGCGTTCGTCCAATTGAGCATTACTTTGAAGACTTCTGGGCCAATGACGTCATTAGTTGATGCTTCGAGTCGGGGCCTTGGGGCCGGGCCAAGTTAGGAGTTCCCTATAGGCTATATACATAGATTTACAGTCTGTATATCTATGCCTTTATACCGTGGGATTAGGTTTGGATTAGGTATTCGATTAGGTAAGTATGGGTATTAGGATAAGGATTATTATTATTATTATTAGGATTAAGGATTATTAAGGTGGATGAAAAAATTGAGCTCCTGACCAAATCCATCTCGGACCACTGCAAACTGGTGAACCGAACACTGCGGCAGCTGGAAGAGCATGCAGTTGATCAGACTAAAATGCTTGAAAGGACTGTTAGACAGCAACACGAGGAGAAGGCCTCCTATGCGGAAATAGTCAAAAGCTCCTGCTCGGCTCTGACAGATTCTGTTGCAGAGAAGCTCAATGGAATTAGTGGAACTGCCCAGCTATCAGAAAACAAGTCCCAGTCCTCCAGGGACATCCACAAGACTGTCAGCACGGTTCTGGACAAAGAGCGTAGGAAGTTGAATGTGGTAGTGTTCAACTTGCCCGAGAGCACACCTGAGGATGGTGTAACAAGAGAGGAAAAAGACCTCAGTAAATTTAAAGACATTGTCAAAGAAAATCTGAAGCTGGTCGTCAAGGCTTCAAAGTGCTATAGAGTTGGCAAATTACAGGAAAACCGCCCAAGACTGCTCATTCTAACTCTCGAGGATCTGGACTCCAAGATTGAACTGCTTAGACTGTCGTCTCAGTTGCGGCATTCGGAAAGCTGGAACAATTTGTACATTAACCCAGATCAGACACCTGCTGAGCGAGAGGCCCACAGACTGCTGCGACAAGAGCTTGCACAGCGACGTGCTGCAGGTGAACAAGATATTGGCATCAGAAATGGCAACATCATCAAACTGAAGAGTGGAACTGGCCGGTCAGGTGGACCCAGCAGTTTCCGTGAAGTTCAGCCACCTGCCCGATTGAATCTGGATACAAGTGCCCCCCAGCAGGTGCAATCCAAGCAATCAAAGCAAAAATGACTAACCAATGCATGTGGGAAGGGCGTTGGGCTTACTGTTTTGTACACTAATGCAGACCAGTTTATCAATAAGAGAGATTGTCTACTAGCTGAAATAGCTGGCTCTGAACCAGATGTAATGATGATTACAGAGGTGTTGCCAAAAGCCCAAGTCCTAGCCCTGTCGACAGCTATTGTCAGTTTCAAAGGTTATAAGGTGTACACAAACTTTGACCCTGATGCCGCCAATCTTGGGAAACAGGGACTGCGAGGTATTTGTGTCTATGTTAAGGACCAAATCAGATGTCAGCCTGCTAGCTCCTCAGCTCTGGAGGGGGTTGAGTCTGTCTGGCTAGCCCTGAAGCTCAAAGGCAGAGACACTTTAAGGTTGGGTTGCCTGTACAGAAGTCCCAGTAGCTGCCTGGAAACAAGTACAGACTTGATATGCAAAATGCTGGAAGAAAATCGCAACAGCTCATCACACATGCTTGTCACTGGTGACTTTAACTACCCTCACCTGAACTGGGAGACTATGTCTAGTCCTGCCCGAGAAAATCACCCAACTCATCTCTTTCTTAAGAAGCTGACAGATCTGTTTTTGATTCAGCATGTTACAAAACCAACACGATACAGAATTGGAACAGTCCCTAGTCTTCTAGACCTGGTTCTCACAACCGAAGAAGGAATGGTATCCACCATAGAATACCTTCCCGGACTCAGCAAAAGCGACCATCTAGTCCTCAGGTTCACTGTTCACTGCTATACAGTTCCAAAAGCTGCCCAATTCACAAAGAAACCTGCCCTGAATCGAGCTGACTATAACCTGTTGAGGAGTAAAGCAGCTGAAGTAAATTGGGCCCAAATCCGGAACATGCATCCACAATGTGCCTATGAGTTCCTTGAGAGAACTGTATCAATGCTAGTTGAGCGACATGTGCCCAAGACTCGAACAGGCAAAACAAAAAACCTGTACATGAACAGAGAAGCCTTACAGCTACGCAAGAAGAAGAGGACCCTGTGGGCTACATACTCCAGGACTCTAGACAATGAAGATCTCTCAAGATTCAACACATGTCGCAACAAACTGAGAAAAATGACTAGGAACTTGAGAAGAGATTTCGAAACACAGATCGTTAATGAGGTGAAGTACAACCCAAAATCTTTTTGGAGGTATGTAAATTCCCGCCTCAAAACCAAACCAGGGATTGACGTTATTGAAGACGAGCTAGGTCAACCAAGGAGCTCACCCAACGATAAGGCAGATCTGCTCAACCGGTATTTCTGCAGCGTCTTCACCACTGAGGACCAGACCTCTCTGCCAGAACCTGAGCACCACTCTCTTCCTGGGGGCACCCTGTCTGAAGTGACTATAACACCAGAAGAGGTTTACCTGAAACTCCTAAAGGTTAATGTTTCAGGAGCCCCTGGCCCTGATGGGCTGCATCCCCGCGTGCTCAAGGAGCTAGCTCCACAGCTGGCCTGCCCACTTGCAGTCATCTTCAATGCTTGTATCCAGACCTCTTGCATACCAGTTGAATGGCGCCACGCTCTTGTCGTACCGATTTTCAAGAAGGGACCAAGGCAATCGGCGAGCAACTACCGACCAATTAGTCTCACATCCATCGTATGTAAAGTCATGGAAGCTATCATGAGAGACAAGATAATGAGCCATCTCACAATGAGCAACTTGCTTAGTCCCCACCAGCATGGTTTTCGCCCTCGCCGATCTTGTAGTACCCAGATGCTGGAAGCTATGGACATCTGGACCCAGACGATTGAGGCCAAGCAGCCACTGGACGCTGTGTATCTAGACTTCAAGAAGGCCTTCGACTCTGTGCCTCATGGTAGACTCCTGTTGAAGCTGGAGACTTACGGCATAGTTGGCAAGACTCTGGACTGGGTAAGAGCCTTCCTTGCTGACAGAACCCAGCAGGTCGTAGTCGAAGGGGTCAAGTCCACAAGATCAACTGTAACCAGTGGAGTGCCTCAGGGCTCTGTCTTGGGACCTCTTCTGTTTCTGCTCTATATCAACGACTTACCTGGCCACATCTCGTCCTCCATCAAGCTGTTTGCTGATGATTGCAAAGTGTTTCGCCCTGTGCACTCCCCAGAGGCTAGAGACGTGCTCCAAACCGATTTAAATGAACTTGGAAACTGGTCGCAGCTGTGGCAGCTTCCGTTCAACTTGGATAAGTGTCACGTACTACACCTTGGCCCTGGAAACCAGAACGCGACATACACAATGCTGGGGAGACCATTGGAGGCCACGGAGAGTGAGAAGGACCTGGGAATAGTTGTCGACGGGTCGCTCGACTTTCACCAGCAGACCGCAGCAGCTGTTGCTAGGGCAAACAGGGTTCTGGGCCTGGTTAAGAAATCGTTCGTGAACCTCGACGCGAAGTCTCTGCCCTTGCTTTTCAAGTCCCTGATTCGGCCTCACTTGGAGTTTAGCAACTGCATCTGGGGCCCCTACTCGATAGGCGACCAAAAGCTGGTTGAGAGGGTGCAGCGCAGAGCAACGAAGCTGGTGCCAGAGCTGCGTTCGAAGCCTTACTCTACGAGACTGCGTCTGCTTGGTCTACCGTCGCTGACGTACCGCCGACGACGGGGCGACATGATCGTCATCTACCAGATCCTCCACGACGCGATGGACGTTGACGATGAACTTCTTCGCCTGTCCGAGACTGGGATCACGCGGAGTCACGGCTTCAAGCTCCACAAGCCCCAAGCCATCTCTAGAGCAAGACGGAACTTCCTCAGCGTCAGAGTGGTCAACAGTTGGAACAGTCTGCCTCTACACGTCGTTACTGCACCCTCTGTCAACACCTTTAAATCCCGACTGGACATCCACTGGGAAGCTATCCGCTTCTCCTCTGCCTTCGACGACCAGTAACCTTCCACGAGCTAGTACTTAGAGTAAAGATCCGGACCAACAGGTCTACACAGGCCTCTAAATTCCGTGTACTCCTAAGGCAAGGCAAGGCAAGGCATTATAAATGCTTCATCCATGGCCGGGCCATGGTACCATTTGGGTCTGGGATGTCCGTGAAGTTAGCGTCAGCAACTGACGCTAACTTCACGGACATCCATTTGGGGGCTTATATTTCGTACTTTCGTTCATGTTTATTTCACTGCTCAGCACTCAATCCGCATGGCTGGCAAATATTTCAACCAGTGTTTAGCATGTATGCCATATGTATGCATATTGATCTAAGCCTATGGGCTATGGCTCATCTATGACTGCGCACGGATCCTCCAAGACCTTGCCCAAGATTGAGATTCTTCAAGAAGCTTCCACGTTCCCACTCGAACCTGCTCGGGTCCGGATGATCACCTCAGTGCTCTGCTACTCTGTTGAAGATTTGGTCTAAGTTTGCTTCCTGTTTGAGGTCACCACTCACCTGAATCTTCTAATAGCTATCTAGTTAGAAATCAATGGGCAGTCAGTCTTGTGTTCAATGCTGTTACGTTGGCATCAAGGCCCAAGGGTGTGAGGCGATGCGAAACAGCTATTGCTTTTGTGGTGATATGTTGCCCGCCCAGTGCCCACTGTCTCATTTCGCTACCTACGCAGGTCTTATCTTTATCACCACATCCTTTACGGAATACTTGTCACCTCTCCAGTGGTTCCAATTGACACCAATGTGATTGTCGGTTATTCCAGACAGGTATTGGCCATTTAAATTTTGCCTGTAGCAATGGTCGTACCAGCCAGCACCCTTGTACAATTGAGCGCAGTTATTTGGGCTTTGGTCATGGTCCTTGTCCTTGGTGGTGAACCTGTGGCCATTGTGGTAGCTGAAGCTGTCCCCGGCGTCGCCGCTGTAGTTAGCCACCGAGAGCCGGTAGCCGTCGGCCTCGGACGCCACTCGGAACTGCTGGTAGACGGCGAATCGCCTCACTCCGCCAAAGTCGGCCAGGTCGACGCGCATCTGGTATCGGCGGTCCCGCGGACTGGTCATCCTCCACAGCGACTCCAGGCCCCACCAGAACTCCCCATCCAGCTCGCCGAAGCCCTCGCGGTACGCCTGCCACAGAAGACAGAAGTGCTGTCTGGGCTGGATGTCGGCGCGCCGCTGGACGACGGTCCAGCCGCCGCCGTCCGACTCCATGTCGCAGTAGGCCGGGATGGGCGGCACGGACCGGTCCAGACCCAGCTGCAGCAGATGGATGCCGCTGGCGGTGCCCGCTGGCAGCTCACTGCAGTCTCGGGGCAGCGGGGCCGGGTCACACGACCGCTCCGCCATCTGAGCGGCCCAGCCGTCCAGACGGGACTGCTGGGCTGCCAGGAGTGCTGTCAGACCGTCCAGCCGGGCGGACAATCCGCCGTCATCTGCCGTCTTCGTGACGAGCTGAGAGGCCAGATCGTCCACTCGGGAACCGAGGACGTCTTGGGCAGAGTCCAGCGTCAGGAGTCTAGCGTCAAGAGTATTCAGTCGCGAGTCGACCGAGTTTAGTCGCGAATCGAGTGTCTCCACACGGGAAGTTAGACTGCCGATCGCTGGCTGTAGCCGGGCTGTGACCCTCTGCTCCAGGAGACGCACCACCTCCCCCGGACTGGTGCTGGTGCTGACTGGCTGGGGCTGGTCGGCTCCACACCAGCTCACCAAACACAGAACAGTCAGGACAGGAACGCAGCGCCGAGCTAACCGTTGCATGACGGTGGGTAGGTCGGCTTCACAGGCTACAGCAGAGTCGAGCGGGCTAATCGGTCACTACAGACACCGAGCCACCAGATGCGGCGGTCGACGGCGCAGCGGGGACGGACACTGACGCGCTGAGAACGGCGGAGCTATGGCGCCGATTGCCGATCACGCAAACATGATCGGCAGTTTATTTATACAACAGTCAGCGTGGCATTCCACGGGGCTCGCCGCGGGGACAAGTCCGCGATCGGTGCTACATTGAGGGACCGAGGGTCAAAGAGCTGTGGTTGTACTGTGCCACGCCACCCATTTGTGTGCAATATGGAGAGTTGATATGTGTCCTCTTCTCGAGAACTTAATTTGAAAGCTTTATAAGCATACAAACAACAGTGACCAGATTCAAAATATATTTAGAGCTAAGGCGAATCTGACCTAACATAACAGTTTCCTTCGCGCACAAGACCAAAAACAAGCGAGGTACAGCAGGCAGGCACTGCGATCGCAGAAAGAGCTGTTCACCCGATTCAGCAGCTGCAGTCACCGACTCGAAATACACGTCGGCCTCGACCAACACGAGTCGAAATACACCAAAGCACGGTACGGTGACCTTGTAGAAGGCGGCCCGGACCTCTCTATCGACGCCCTGGCATTGACCACACATTAGCGCGCCCAACTGGACTGGAGGCGCGCTCGACTCGACAGGAGAGACCGAGAGGACGGTGCCGAGCACATAGTTCAGAGAAGAAGTATTGCAAGCAGAACGCTCTCCGCCACTGCGCGACAGTCAGCGGCGAGACTTTTACACCGACTCGTCGTCTGTGAACAGTATCAGTTAGTACCACTCACTCACACACTCGAGCACACGCACATTTCTCTGAGTCTTTATACGTTTGTGGCGCACCTTTGGGGATCGGCGGGTAGCGACCAGCGGCACCCGGCTTTGATCCCCAGCTCTGCGAGAGTCCGGTTCAGACGCAGCGCGCACGAAGGCTCCCGCTCGGACCTCGAGGTCTTAGTGCCCGCGTCTCGGTGGGTGCGTCGGCGCCAGCGGCCGCGCGCCGTGGTGGTGCGGGCTGCGATCGCTCGGACGGCTGTCGGACTGTCACTGGTGTGCGCAGGCTGGGCCCCGGCGCTGGCTGGCCCAGGAGTCCCACCATACCACTGGAGGCTGTTGGGCCACGGCCAGTCTACGAGTACATGTTGTACTCGATCCAGTCCTCCAGCGAGAAGATGGCCTGGTTCGTCTTCTCCGGGTCACGGTCACGGAAGATCTCTGCAAGAAGAGGTTGAAGTGAGCATTAGAGAAAGCACGCGATGGAAGGAGAAAATACGTACGGCAGCCTACTGCTATACGAAAATACAGGAAACTCGCCCGTTCGACTGCCTGCATAAGGGTAGCGATGCTGTCCCAAAGAAAAGGCTAATTTGAAATTATTACATTGTTTATAGAGGCGCAAGAATAATACGGTTCAAAACTTTGGTCTATGGTAGCGTCAATGTCTCAGCCGATCACGTGTTGGTTGCCCTGTTGTGAAGATTCCTTGCGACAGTGACAAAAAGCTTTAGCGTTTCTAATGCGAACTCGTGACCACTTACCCATGCAGGTCTTCAGTTTCACTGCGCAGGCCATGAAGTCGTCGAACGCCACGTTGCCATCCTTGTCGCCGTATCTGAAACACAAATTGCCAGTGTGACACCACCAGTAAATTCTGAACATCAATCAAATCAGAGATCATTCGTATTGAAAGACGTGCACCAGCGACTGCCTGCAAATAAGAGAAACACGTGCAGGAGACTGTCACTCGACCTCACTGGTGCATCATCGAGCTGAATATTGTTTCCCGGCCTCACCTGTGCATCAGCGAGTTGAGCAGGTTGTTGTTGACCCGGTAGCCGGCCTCGTTGAGCGCCGAGCGCAGTTCGAAGGCGCTCAGCAGGCCGGTGCCGTCAGCGTCGTGCTGCTTGAACACTGTCTTCCAGATGCGGATGCTGCTCCACAGAGTTTTGAACTCCTCCAGACCGAGTTTGCCCGAGTTGTCGACGTCCATCAGAGCGATCATCGAGCGGGCAGTGTCCTTGCTGAAGCCCTCAAACTCGAACTCTGAGTGGGGAAGCAGAACGGACGGCGTTAGGCGAGCAGAGAGGCGGATAGCGCTTATACAACACCTCTTGGATGGGGCCGAGATAACACGGTGCTGGGTCTGGACAGTGGATACAAATTACAAATATGTGCCATATGAAAAGAAAATAGTTGAAATTCGTTACAGTGGAATCACACTATGTTGCTTGCCAGGGTATCGCCATCAGGTATGCGAGGAACTCGGGTCAATTCACAGACTAAATCTACTGGGGACGGATAAAGTTAAAAAAAAACTTGGACTAAGTTACTTTCAAAGTGATCGATCGTTTTGATTAATAATAACGTTGAAAGTAGCTCCAAAATAATTTGTGCGATCTGCATGATCTGATGTGTAAAAGCCAAAACATCGAGAATGCATCGCTAAAACTGACTGTGTTAATGGGATGCGTTATGCCTTCAAAAGGAAATTGCTTTCGGATCAAGACAAAATGGTTTTCAGGACAGATTATCTGTTATGCCTACTGTTCATAGTTAGCAATTAGCAGCATCAGCATAAAAGACAGGTGCTGCCGTGCTCAATGATGGCATCGTCATGCCACGAAACATTACGAGCTACAAAGGCCAGTGGTCAGAACAGTAAATGAGCATATGCCATAGCATGCAAGCATTCTTCTTTCAAAGAATAGAGGAGGTATGCCATCCGTGGTAGCAGACGAAGATAGCGAATCCTTAGTCTCCCCAACTGAGGAAGAATAACCAAAGGACGTGCATAGGTGATGCCCATGTTGTAGCACAGAGATTGTGTTTGGACATAAATTCGTAGATGAAATAGAGAGATCAGATCACGAGACAATATCGATAGAATGGTCAAACAACTTACGGCTGAACTCTGCACGGCCGCGTGAAAATGGACACAGGTTAGTGAGGGACAGACTTGACACCCAAACATCGTATTATGATTGGGTCACTAAAAATACAGTTGGGGGCACCTGATCTACCAAACATATGAAAAAGCATTGCGTAAACATTGCAGAAAACAGGTGACAGTTTTAAACCATTGACGCTGGTCTATGCAGCGCGTCTACAGCGCATCTCTGTAGGCGCTCAATCACATACATATGAATTACAGTTCATCATCAATCGTAACACCTGCGGTCTGTGCGAACAGAAAATCTTGCCGGGCTCCATAATCGACAATCGACAACCACACGCTCTGGACCAGCCACCCACCTTTTTTGAGCGCGTAGTCGAGCACCTGTTTAAGCTCCATCCAGTCGATCTCCAGGTCGTCGCCGGCGATCTTGTTGAAGAACTCGCGGACCATCTGGTCGTACTCGGACTCCTCCTCCAGCTGCGGCTTCACCTGCGCCAGGGGAGGGACGCGGTGGTCAGGGAGGGGTCACACGGTCCAGCTGGTCATGGCCCAGGCCTGCTCCCCGGTAGCCGGGCTCAGTGACTGGTGAACTGGCTGAAGTTACTGAGAGGATGCTGGCGTGAGAACTCGATGAAGCTGTTGACGCTGGTATCTACTAAACGAACATACTCCCTCGGCTTCGTATAAATTACGATGATCCCCATTGCAATATCTGAAAACCTAGGCGGTGATAAACATTCGCCTGGCTAGGAAAGAAACTGAACGATACATTATAAATGTTCCGAGTCCCCTAAATGACTCATCGCAAATGCTCAGGTAAATGACAAAATATCGTCCTACATAATCACACTATACTGGACTGGTCTATATACAAATACCTAACGACGATATACGAATGGGTGATACGTTACCTTCGTGATACGAATGAGTGTGTGGAAAACTAAGAATCCTGGGAGAACCAAAAAAGTGATGAATCTCTAAAGGATACGCATTACGCACTACACAGCGATTTAGTGACAAAATAAGTAGGCAACGTACCAAGAAAGATAATCGGTAAATGAATCCCCCAAGACATGTGACACGGTTTCAGCTATGGCCTATGGTTAACTACGAATTGCTTAGCGTTGAATTTTTTTCTGGCACCCGATAGCACAGCGACCTAACGAGTTTGTTCATCATAGGCATAAGCGGCTCCCACGAGCAGCGAGACAACTAAACCTGCAACGCCACCCTTATAGCAGAAGGAATACGGCGGAATATAATAAAGCACAAAGCTCTTCGCCCAAGGAACAGCAAAACTGAGGTAAACTTGTTTACATTTCAGCCTAACAATGCATAGCGACAGGTAGCTATATTTTGGGAGGCTAATTAAGTTTGGAAGTCTGAGCCAAATGATAACCCCATACATCAAACCGAAACGGGACGCAATTACATACGCCCAACATGACCGAACGCATATATAACATCCAGATACCACCGAATCGAACCATACGACCACATGCCAGCGGAGCAGCCCCACTTCCCGCGGCATGCCAACGAGCTAAGCTAAGCGAGCGAAGCGAGAGGAGCCCTAGCGGTGCCCCGGACTCACACCGCCGGGCTCGCCGTCCCGAATGCCCAGTCCAGACGCAATCTGAAACCGGTGCCGGGGGCGCCCGGTTAGGCCGTGTCGAGGGAACAGGGGGTCCAGCCGGAGCGTGTCGACGGGAGATAGGGAGTTCAGGCAGTGATGTGAGGGGATGAGCATTCAATTCGTGCTATGGAGCGAATGGGAAGTCGGTAAGACAGTGTTGTGCGGCGACCGGGAGTCCCGATTGGATGTGATGTGCGGTGCAGTGAAGTTGGACTAACAGTCGGAGAGGAATGACTAGCTCTGATGCATTATAGCTCGGGTGCAGGGCGAAGGGTAGAAACGTGATGGAGACGTGGTCGGTCCAGCGACAAGCTGCTAAGGCCACTCAGTGCAAAAGCCGTCAGTGAAGAAGGCTATTAGTGAAACAAAACGTCTTCGATACTCTAGTATTTTAGCTCATACGTCCACTCTAAGCTTGCATAAATCAGATGCTCACAATGAAAGCTGTTATTCATTTCTAAGAGTGAACTAGGGTTATACAGTTCTCTAGACAAGCATGCAAGGAATAAAGTCAAGCCTAAGCAGTGATGTCCTAATCTATCAGGGTGCATCACATGGTGACACCAAAACATTGCCGAACTAGCCAATCGTAACAACCAGTAAAACGCCTTTTGGACGAAGAACGAGCGAGCGAGATAGTGAGCCCTGCACGTGCGGAAGGGCGAGAGGGTACATCCAGCGGGCTTGCGCAAAGCACCCTTCTAACCGGTCGCTAGCGGTGTACCAAATTTGAACGCAATCGGCCCAGCCGTTCCTGAGATCTGGAAGCGGCATTCTGCACGTGCGCACGTGCAAACGGGGTCCAAACTGACTTTTGCACGGCACCCTACTAACTGGTCCCCAACCGTGTACCAAATTTGAGCGCAATCGGCCCAGCTGTTCTCGAGATCTGGAAGCGCCCCCTGCACGTGCGCACGTGCATTAGCACCCTAACCGCAACACATGGGAATGCATTGCCTGGTGGGTGCCTACCTGTATGCCAATTGCCAAGTTTCAGCGAAATCGCCCCAGTAATTACCGAGTTATTAAAATGGGAACAAATTTGACACCTCTTATTGTTGTATTTTGCACGTGCGCTGGGGGTGACCCACATGCATCGAGAGTATCCTATTTTTGGTAGAAGGGATGCTGCTACCCTACAAAAATCACCGCAAGTCAATCGCCCAAGCGGCTGCTGAGATATGAGCCTCTCAAAATCACTACTTTTGCAGGACAGCTTGAACACCCTTGACTTTTCACGTGGCAAGTGCCACGACGGTCACTGAGGTGTATCAAAAGTAGTCAATTACGGGGTAGAAGGGATGGGGCTACCCAGCAAAAAAGACCGCATGCCAATCGATCCAGCGGTTGCTGAGATATAAGCCTCTCAAAAGCGTTACAGGCCGGGCCGGGCCGGGCCGGGCCGCTCATACTGAGATTTTTCCCTTATATTGAAAAGACTCGCTTCGCTCGCTGCGCTCGCTCGCTAGTAATCAGGGCATCGCCAAAACCGGTACCATCCAAAAACGCTTCTCAAAAAAAAAAAATGATCGCATGGTCGTTCATTCAAGGTCTTTCGCTCTTGCCTTCCTTCCATTCCTCCCGATTCCCTTTCTCTCCCTCCCCTTTCCTCCTCCACAACTCACCGAGTCGTCGACGCTGCCGGGGCCGACCTCCTGGTCGTTCTCCTCCATGTTGTTCTTCTTCTCGGAGAAGACGCGGATGATGAACTCGCCCTCTTCGTTCGGTTCGAAGGTGCTCGGCACGATGCAGTAGCTGCCCGGCGGTAGTTTGAAGCGGCACGACACCTCGCGCAGGTTGATGAAGCTCGGTGCGCGCGCCACGGACGAGTTGTACCGGAAATAGCTGGTGTCCAGTGGCACGGGGGAGCTCTCCGGGTCCGGCACCTGGGGAGGGCCGGGTGGGTCAGGTCACGTGAGGCAGTGTCAGGTGACAGGTCGGGTCAGGTCATGTGATCACCTAAACTTTCTTCACACCACATTTACGTGTAGAGATGTTTCAGTAACTGCGCCCCTCCCCTCCGCATGACAGTGATGGGATAATCAGTTATGATAAACGTGATATCCAACACAACTACTAAGCTCAGTGCATGCAATAGATCAGGCTGCAACAAACTTTTCGGTAATATACATCAGTTCAAATCTCCTTTCCATCGAAACTGTTCAACAAGCAACGCATCATGTTCCACAATTATCACGTGACACCGATTGCAAATTCAACTACACCAAACCTAACCTACCCCTATAGCCTGACACCATTTGATCTTACGTGGTAGATGGCGAAGCCGATGGTGAGGCAGTCGAGGCCGAGTTTGCGCTGGGCGCGCCGGTTCTTCTGCATCAGCGCCACGATGACGGTACACTTTTCCTCGTCATCGTCCTCGTCCGGGTCGGCAAGGTTGATGACGTACTGAGGGTTGTACGAGAACGTACCTGCACGCGGGCAAGTGGGCGTTATTTGACGCTCACGGGATCAGACAATTAGAAGTCGCGTGCTGTTGATTATTTAGGGGTTGACAAACACTGTTTGGCAATTAAGAATTTACTGTGGGTCTGGAGTGTATGTAACTATACAAATTTAATAGATATAAATATAAATTTTGGAGAAAATTATTCAGACTAAAAAACTTCGACATAATTAGCATACTAACTTCATGGCACACTGAATAAGCAACCTATCCCGAAAACATCCAAGTCACACCCAGCTGCTACTCATGCTAGCCAGCCAAAAGTCGAATCTGAGTCTCTGCACCATCCCCATGTCGAGCCGGCGACTCACTGATGTAGTTTCGGCAGCCGCCGGCGGTGGCGCCGCGCACCCAGGCACCCTCGAACACCGACATCTCCCAGCGCTTCGTCTTGTTCTCCTCGTCGTCTTCTTCGAGACTGTCCGGGCTCAGGTTGCAGATCTCCAGACGCTAAAACAAATATAGGATAGATAACATCGTGCGTCTTCGAGATTGTTCGGACTCAGGTGGCAGGTATCCAGACGCTATAGCGCTAGAAGGCGTGGTTATATCATGTGTCTTCGGGACAGTCTGTACGGACTTGACGACACAATGTTTCGTGGCAATAAAATATGTGCCGTAGGTAGTAGAACTGTTGCCTAGCGAAACGATTTTAGCGACATTGTCGACATTAAATGACAATGACACGCTGACTTGGAGCCCGGTTACTGGATAGGCCGCCGTACCTGGAAGTTACCGATGAAGTCTTTGTAGGTCATCCAGAACTCTCCGTCAGCGTCGAAGGTCAGGCCGATCTCCTGCCGGGACTCCTCAGGGATGTACTGCCACTCTGGAGACCTAGGAACAACACACAGATTCTCAGTAAGATACATCAACGTTTTAACATTAAAGCGTACAAGAAACAAGCTCCTAATAGTTGTCTAACAAGTCGTTAGAGAAAACTTAACACTTCCATCCCCCTTCCGGGGAACGAAGCAGAAGATATCGTTATAGCTTATCCATGTCATTTGTTTGCAAACTCAGTGGCGGCACAATGTCGCACTCACCAGTTTCCAGTGCACACATCACGCCCCCTATCCCCCCCGTCTCCCCATATTTCCCTCCCACCCTATTCCACTCACGAGTCGGAGAAGGCGCCCTTCCACTCTGCCTCGTTGCCCCACGGGTTGCGCACGCGCACCATGGGAATCTGGCCGCTGACGCGCGGTGTCTCGATGTCGGCCAGGCAGACCTTGGTGATGGAGTAGGCGTGGCCGCGGATCAGGCCGTTAGAGAGCTCCGCCTCCAGTACGTTCGGGTCCGGCTGTCACACGGAGAAAGGGAGGGAGCTTGTGAAAGCAGATTAAACCATTTCCAACTGAGCAGGAATGTCACATTTTACAAAAAGAGACTTAAGAAAACAAACTAAAAAGTCATAAAATGAGACGGTTCAATTACTGTGGCTGATCCAAGTACCAAAACTACGAAAAAGGTACAAAACCGCTACGAAAATCGATAGCTAGTCAGCAATAAAATCGTAGTGCTTATCTCTCAGCACACTTAAGCTTCCTTGGGCATCACAATCTCCCGGTATTCAGCAAACCCATGTGCACACCCACCTCGATGGAGCAGCCCATGAGCGACTTGCGCTCGTCGGCCTTGAGCAGGATCTGGAAGAGGTTGTCGGGCGCCTTGTCGATGTCGTACATCTCGGTGACGCCGCCGCTGAAGTCCTCCATGGCCTCGCAGGTGGTGCCGCCCTTCAGCGACTCGTACGAGCCGTGCAGTCTGAAGGAGGCGGGGTAAGGGGATGGGATGGGTTAGATATCGAACAAGAGGCCCATGGTCATGACTCATGGTATTGTGAATTGCTGAACGGGAGGAGAATTGTTTGAAGTGTTACATTAAGCTTATCGAGATTAACGACTTAACGTGATTAAAGCAGGCTCAATGACTCAACTCCTATTGAAACAATGACCAAACCTTAACAGAACATTGACGTCCGATTGAGCAATTCTCAATGATAAGCCAGTAATGTCTATCCTGTAATGCACCGTGCCGCTTTATCAACTATCTTATGCCACGGCAAGTGTTATACTGTTCTTTGAATCGTTGGCAATATTCCTACACTTGTCCCTCCGTATCTATCTCTAGAAAGTCAGAAGTCCGCACTCACTTGGCGTAGGCCTTCTCGAGGAGCGCCGACCAGAACTCGTTGTTATCCTCGGAGTGCATAAACACCAACTGGCCGTTGTAGGTCGGTAGGCGGTCATCGACCACAACGTCCACCCACCGGCCATACTGCCAGAACCTGGTGGTACGCGAGGCGGTAAAGACACACGTCACGTGTCGACCTAGGCTAGGTCGCCATGGGTTTGACAAAACAGTCACATGGCACGAAGTCACGGGATAAGGCAAGTCTCTGGGTCACAGGGCCACAGGTCAGGGACACGTCACCAAATCACTAACAGTGGTGACATATTACCGTGAGCAGCGGCAGACAGTACGACATCACCAACCGGGGAACGGTTTCACGTCACATGATGCGGCTATAAGTGGCTATGAGAAAGTGCGACGATATCGTATGTTGAGCTTTGATTATCTTTCGTAATATCTTGGTCCACTTTTAGCGGGTCCGATATGCTTCAGCGATACTCTTAACTACAACTCTTGCACCAAAGAGTGAGAGGTATGGTGAGCCAGCAGCGTAGATTGTGAATGATGACATTCACAGTGACGTCACCAACCTCGCACCGCACTTTATCGCGATCTAGACACAGTGTCACCTTGGTAAAACTCTGATCGTGCTGATTAAGTCGTCACGCGTTAGTATAACTGCGCTCGAGCGGAGGAAAGTGTGAGCGGGGTGAATCGGCCACCGCCACAGTGCAGTTTGCGCACAAACGAGGTGGCGGGGAGGGGGGTGCTAGGCTGATACCGCTGTTGAACTGCAAAACGGAACACCCATGATAACGATAGCAGGGAATCACCGCATTATCATCACAACAGATGTGACACGCCATATTGCAAACAACTGCGCCACAACCCATTATTCATGCAATCAAATTTGCTGTTGATTGCTCACAGCTGACTTATCATCTCCCAATCAGTCCGGTATTCTCTTGCAATCACCGGGCAGGGACTCGTCACTCAGCTATTTGCCAATGTCTCACACACGAACGAAGCTCACCGGAAGTGGAAGATGCCGGCGTACTCGTCTTCGAAGTTCTGGTTGTCGGGCACGATCTGGGCGAACAGGTCCTTGTTGAGGGTGAGGTTGGCGACGGCTGCCAGCAGCCAGCAGTCACCTGCCGGGGAACAGAGGGAATAGTCAGACCGGGCGTGACAGATGTCAGAACAGAAACCAGACCAGAGACCAGACATCAGATGGACGCGCCAAGGGCCAGACCGGAGAGACCGGAGGGCAGATTAGACAAACAAGGCCCTAATACCCTAACAGACAATCGGTGAATATGTAGCGGTGACAGGCGTGTCACGCGCGCATAAATAGCGTTGACACTAAAAACTGTCCACCACAGTCATGACTCGCAACGTCACACCTTCCATACTGAATATAAGAGGGCTCCACGGACAGGCTAGAGTAAACACACGAATATCCGAGCCTTACAGAACCTGGCACAAAAAAGCTCTTTACTCGTCAATAATAAATCGATGAGAGTGTCGATAGAGGCGCTAATGACTGAGGGTGTTAACAATGACGGTTACTTCCACAACACCACCCGAAATGTTAGCTGAATGAGACCACCTAAATGAGAAGGGAACACAAGCATCCAATCCCGACTGATTTACGCCCGCCTTAATTGTTATTTCGTTCTCATCCGCTGTCCATGTGCTATGTTTCTGGGGTTCGACAAGCTCTTCTATGATGTCAGAATGCTTACCCAGTTCTCCCTGTTGTACGTCGAACCGGGAGGCGTCTCTGGAGATGAACTGAGGGTTGCTGACAATCTCCTGTGGGACACACGATGAAATGGTCAGGAAAATGAAATCCATCGTAATGCACCCAGTTTTCCAAGAACAAGTACCTATCCCCATAGTGGACAAATTAAACATTATCGTACCAGACGACGTGGTCTTTGTTCCGTTCTACCAATGTTTCGCACCGTCTCACCCGGCCGTCCAGTCCCGTCCTATTACATCCCACCCCGTCTTATTCGGTATTCCATCCCATCCCTTCGTCCCATCCCACTAACACTGGGTCGGAGCCAGTCGAACGGTCTCGGCGGCGACTTGGAGAAGAAGATGGAGCAGTCCTCGGCGGCGAACTCGGGGTCCTCGAACAGCTGGCCGGAGCGGAGACACTCGCGGCGCAGCTTGTCAAAGTCCTGGACGGTGCCGCGCGGACGCAGACCCGAGCCGCGCTCGTTCATCTGGGGGCGGATAGGTCAGCAGGGGTCAGCAGGGGTCAGCATGGGGTCAGCATGGGGTCAGCATGGGTCGGCAGGGGTCAGTAGAGGTCAGCATGGGGTCACTGAGCCTGAGGAGAGGAACACGGGTCATTGGGGATCAGAAGGTCAAGCAAGGTTCAGTGAGAATCAGCGGAGGGGGTCATTATGAAATCAATAGGGGAGACCGGGGAGCGGCGGAGGAGGGAATTTCAGCGAAAGTCAGCGTCAGCAAGGCTTAGTACGAGCCAGTACGGGTTACGGATAAAACGTTTATTTTGAAGGTCTGCTGAGGATAAGGTATAAGCCAGTAGTTACATTGTGTTTTACGGTCCCATGCGTACGGAAAACGCTGAAAGCCTTTTTCTGGGTACCCAATCTTAACTTCATAAAATGACCATCGGTCACGTTGAAGTTACAACGATGCCACTGAAGACATACCCAAAAGCCAAAGTGATATAAAATAAGGATAATTAGACACACCGGCATATTGATCGTGTTGGATGTCATGCTAATCCATTGGCCACCGGGCTCGTTAAATTATGATGGGTCAGCGGTTATCACAAAGCCTATGTGCAAGCACAGGGAGGCTCCTAAGACCAGCAGGTGCAGAATATTTAGCTGCAAGGCTAGGTGCCAGGAATATGTGTTCACTGTTTCTGGTTAGAGCCATTCGCTAGAATATTTTCCATCACGTTTCGGTGAGTTTATACCGCTGTCAAAAGATGGCCAGGGATTTAAAAAAAAATAGTCCGAACCTTTTGATACGAGGGATTCACAAGGACAGAGCCACCGCTAAGCGAGGCTTGTTGCGGTGACCCTGCCTTCTACCCTCCGATCGCACAATTCCGGTTCTATGGCAGAATTTAGAGTCCAAAGTTTAACGTGTGCACATAGCCGCGCACGGCCGGTCCCCTCACTGACTTCGCCTGGCTACGGCCTGCCACCAACCGCAACCATACCTGTCAGGAGGCCCAAAAATGTCAAGCGCCCGCCGCGCTTCGAACCCGGACTGTTATACCCGAGAACGCGTGCTCTCACCGCGCGGAGTCCAACGCTCTACCAACTGAGCTACGGGACCGGCATTGAGACGGCATTGAGACTACGGGATTGAGAAGAAGAGAGGACACAGGAGGGACACATTCGAAACACTGCGGATAAATATTGTCAAAAGGTCCCGTCTTTATAAGCGTTTTCATAAAGCAGATACTCTTATCGCGTACTCTGCTGATGGTAGTAATTATCGCAATTTATGGGATCATTTAGAGCTGACCGCACATACCGGCACAGCCTGGGCGGCCCGGTGGGCCCGTGACATCCGCACTCGACAGGGCCGCGGCGCGTCCAGCCGTCCTCGGGTCTGTCTCCTCTCCCGACCGGCCTCCAAACGGCGACCGCTCGCCGAACGAGGCACCACCTCCAGCTCCAACACGGCAAGACCGGCGGAGGACTCCGAAACGCCATGACTGACACGGGAGTTTATGAGAGAAGGCTCTTCCCCAGAGACACGAGCTTCAACTAGTGGAAGTTCTGATCGCGAGACATGACTCTCTGACGGGATATCGTCTCCCGATTCACGGCACTCATTCCGGCGCGACTGCTCTGGTGACTTAGTAGATTCCACGGTCGAAGCGGTTCTCCCAGAGACACGAACCTCTACCGGCGGCATAACCATTCGGACTGTCGCCTCACCAGCTCGACTGCTGTGGCTGTTTGGGTGGCTGCGAGCAGTCGCCGACTCACTGTAACAATACACGTTTTCCGTTCCTCTCATCTCAAGTTCACGGTCCAAGCGCACATCCGGTTTCGTCTCTCGTTCCGCCGGCTTTCCGTCCCGCTCGTAGCGGGGCAGCACATCCGGTCTGCGCTCCTCGTGGGTGACGGGCGGCGCATCCTCCCGCTCTCGGTCGGACCAGGCAGGCTGACCGGGGGTCTGCGAGTCAGACGAGCCGCCGAATTTGGCCCTCAGCCGCTCCATGTTGGCGCTGAGTCTGCGGCTGGACCACGGCGCCGAGCTGCGGTTCAGCTTCACCGAGGGAAGGGCAGAGGACCGAGCGGTGCCGTCCTCTGAGGTCGCCACACCCTGTGACGACCTGACGCGGGTGGTGACCGCCAGGGTCTCACGAAAGACGTGTGCTCGTCCACTGACGGCCGGACTGGCGCCGCCGGACGTCCAGCGCCGCTCAGACATGGTGCCGAGATACGAGTCTGCGGCAGGCGACTGCAGATCTACACTGATAACTTAATAAGTCTCACGATCTTTTCACTCAAAGCGTCACCGCGCCATCCGACCACACGAGAACAGCCACACGGTTCTGAAAACGTGAGCGAATCGCGATGACACTCAGCACAGCCAGCCGATCGAGACGGCAGTTATCGACGGACTAGTGGAGAGGACTGCGCTCGGAATGTTACACAACGCGAGCGGATGTGTCAGCGTGCGATAGCCGCCCCCGAGCTCCCGATCCACTGTGCTCCCAGAGATCCACCAGCACCCAGCGCGGCCGGCCTGCTCTCAGCCAGTCGCCGCTTGGAGTAATTGTAAGCACAACTCCCGGTCTGAGCTGAAATCCCGCTTCATAGGACCATCAGGCAGTCCGGCGACCTTCCCACGGGCTGGCGGTGACCGGTCATACCGATATCATATCGACACAGAGGCCACACACCACATTTCCCACGAAATGAGCGAGAAGCCGATAGCGCTATCACGTATGTACGTCAGCCAGATACGGGACCACGCACCGGTGGAACGGTCCCGATATAACCTGTGTCCACGGTCGGGGGCGGCATATGTGCGCGGGAGTGACGGATAAGCGTGAATCGACGCAAATAGGTGGCCTGAGGGTCAGGCAATTTTCCATAAACAAATTTGCGGGAAGGCTGTAGTGTAGGAAATTGTGCAGCAAAGCTTCCAGTTTGTTTCCTTCAGAACCGACCAAAGCTTGCTTAACTCTGATTAAGCTTTGCAGATAGACACTAGCTGAACACATTGTGCCAAAATGTCACCGCATTTAAATATCTGGGTTCGTGGGAAATGCAGTGCCAAAAACAAGCAAGGCAATTTTTATTACAATACCACGTTGCATTCCTTCCGTGTTATCCATTGTCACGTACCTAGCCTTCCTGGCGGTTGGACTATCATCACAGACTGCCTATTCCTTGACCCAGCTCATCCACGATTCTCATTCTCTGACACGAAGCCGGCTAAGAAACATCATCTTGCACAGGGCTCCTACACATGCAAAAGCACCACGACACAACACGCCTGGCAGAGACGGTGGTCCAGCAAAACAGCCAGCGGCACCATTAGTATAATTACTGCGTGCATACCAGCATGGGTATGTGGCACGCAACAATCGTCAAAAGGTGCCGTGACGTCCGAGAAGTTTATCAATGGCTCAGTAACACAGACATAGTGGTTTCCAGTGGCCACTGGCCATCAAGCAATATGATAACACAAAAATGAGCTTCAAGTCGCGCCGTTATTCCATGCAGTTTTATTGGTCACTGCGTTGAGGTTCAGCCCCTACTGCATCTTAAAAACTAATTTTTCAGTGACGCTGTATAAAATTTAAACGCTGTGACATGAAGCGTTTTAACGTCCATGACTATGCCGTTTCTTGGGCGAAGCCTACCAACAAACTTCACACTCAGTCTACTCAGTCAGCATCAAGCTGCTCGCATAGTAACCACGTAGGCGGAACTATTGAACAGTTGTGGCCGGCACTCGCCCGCCACTTTATAGCCACGAAACTCCTGATTTCGGAAATGATCGGATGCATTTCTAACTCCAATCACCGCCAAAGTTAGCACGCTGGGATAGAACGGCTTTTCCAGGAATTCATCTCCGCCCGCGAGTCACTGTGCCATGCGGTGCAGCCTACCTTCAGGCGTTTACTACTGTTGCCATCTAGTGGCGAGAACAAGAACCACATACGGCCGCACGCCGGGCGTCGGCTATCTACGGGTGAACCACTAAATTTGAGGACACATTGTGAGGACACGGAAAACCTGAAACAGGCAAAGACATAGCTATGTATACATGTAACTTACGCTTCGCCGAGGCAGGTAATTAATATGTTCCGAGCTTCCGAGGAACGTTTTGCAACAACTTTGGCCAGCTTTTTAGCGTTAGCGAATCTTTGGGAACGAAACGTGAAATGGTTCGAATATACAATTACTCATTAGTCATTTCTTAAATCGAAGCAAACAAATACCTAGAGTTAACCTAATTTCCGATGATATTTTGAATTCGGTGCGGCTTTCACAAAATGGACTTTCTTTATGGCTAGCTATGCGTGGCAGGTTAAGAAAAAGACAGAAAAACATTCAACGTAATGATAATCTTAAATCCATGCAGCTTATTGAAAAATGGCCATTCCTATGTCCTGGAAACACTTATCCTGTTCGATTTGTCCATTGCTAAGAATTACCATCTGAACTTTGGACTTCGAGTGCAGTGATTCCGTAAATATCTGACAAAAAGTAATGTCCCATCCTCTTAAAAAAACACAGATAAGAAGTGTTGATGACGCCCGTACCAAGGTCATCGGGCAATCGATTCATAGACAAAGGCTAGCCTAACTATAATTTCAACTCAGCAAGGTCACCCATTACCCCAACCGCTACATTTCACAATGATATTGAACTAAGAGGGAACTCCGAAGTACCACAAAGACCGCCTTGACGGGTCTAACCGTCCGTTATTCCTGTTCAATGTCTCCTTCGCCTGTCTCCGCCGACGGAACACCGACGCACGGTGTGTGATTCGACCAAGGTCGGGCCTGGTCTGCTCTCTCTGAACGGTACACGACCGAGTGCTGAGCGGCGCATAGTGTTGGAACGCCTGCCTCCAGCAACGAAAGACGTTTTTGAAAGAGGAGTGAGTGCAATGCATTGAATTTGGCGTACCGTATTTTCAATTTTATCACTTTTCTTACACGGATTTAAGGAAAACGGTGCATATTTTCCCTGTGGGGTGAATA